ATATCGTCCTGGCCAATTACCAAAAATTACAGAATACCTTAATTGTTTATGGAGGCAATTTCTTTCTATTTTGAGCTTATCATTCTGGCCGATACACGTGTCTTCCAGGCCAATTGGCTAATGATGGCTGCCTTAATTAAGAACCCCTGATTAGATTTTTTGTTTTAAGCCCGATCGTCCAGGACGATGTAAAATATTATCCTGGCCAATTTGAGTAAAAATAGAAATTCTAAGTCTCTCAAGTGTGTGTGTGTAGGGTTACTTAGCATCAGTCTCTTTGAACATTACAAATAGACTCAAGAAGAGAAAAAGCAAAGTACAGACTGACTCAACCTTAACCTACGCAATCTTGAACTGGCTTCGTTTATTCGTCCGATCTTCGATTCCTGAAAAGTTAAAAGTAACAGGTAGTCCAAGAGAATCAATGGTGTTTGTCAATCATCAAAACATAAGTCATGAAAATAGATTTGCAACATAAGGTTCTTCAGTTTTGCCTTGGTCCAAAAGAACAAGGATTTAAGAGTTCTTCTACATTTGGCATTCAAAATTTGAGGATAACTCCCGCTGTATTTTTTACTCCATTCCCTCTTCACCATAGTGAATGATGTCGGATATGAAGCCCAGACATCCTAAAAAATAATGCTCCTCTTATAAGAGATACTAGAATTACAAAAATTAAGCACCACTTGGCTATGATCGGATGCAATTCTAACTAGATGTCTTATAGTTAATTAAGAAAAATGATTCAAAGCAGAAGAATTAAGAAAGCACCTGTCGAGTCTCTTCAACATCCGAGCACCTCAAGATTTATTGTTACACCATGTGAACCTTGGGCCAATGAAACCAATCTCATGCAAGTCATTATTAGTAATGAAGGCTCCCATTTCTCTAGCTCCTTGTGAAAAAAGGAATTTTTTTACCTCCTCGTTTGTCTTCTTTTGAAGTGAGATAATTAAAGTCTCCCCCTACCACCATAGGATGCTCCTCCACACAATAAAGCTCAAGTAACTCCCATAAATCCCTCCTTTTAGTTAAGACTTTGCTCCCATAGACCGAAGCCACTCTCCATTTGCATTTACTATTTATAATCAAGTCTCCAATATGACATTGGGATGATGATCCAACCAAGGAAAACTCAATAATGTTTGTGTTCCAAAGAACTATAATCCCTCCAGATAAACCATTCGAGGGAACCATAGTAAATTCCCATCCATCTCCCATAAGCCTCTTCACATCTCTAATGTCAAAATCAGTGATTTTAGTTTCTAGCAAACCCATAAAAAGAACATTATGCATATTTACAATTTCTTTCACATATAGAGAAGAACTACTCTTGTTTTCTCCTCTACAATTCCAAAATACCAAGGAATTCATTGAGGAAGAGTTGTGGGAGCTTCTCCCACTTTGCCTTTCACATCCAATTCCAATCTTCTACTCCTTGTGATACTGCTGATTGGTCCAAGGTCTTTAAGCTTCTTTGACTTTTTCTTCTTCATACATCTGGAATCATCACCATTCTCCTTTGTGATTGAGCCGTCAGCTGTAGTGTTTTTCTGTTCTTCCTTCAAATCATTATGATTCCCATTGTACATCATTCTGTCGTCAAATTCTTTTATGATCTCTCCTTCTTCAATTAAATCCTCCAGTACATTAAATATGTTTTCATTTAAAGGAATGTTAGAACATTCCTTTCAATATCCATATTCACTATATTTTGAGCACCCAATCCAGTTTCCATTGTTGCTACTTCCGTCCTCTGTATATCAGCCAGTAGAACTTTTTCAGTACTCAAGGCTACAGCTTCTATATGATTCTCCCTGTATTCCATCATCTTATTTTCTGTTGTTCTTCTCCAGATTGTCTTCTTAACAGGCACATGAGTACAACATCTTAACTGACTTTGTACATTCTTCCTTCCACGGTTAACAATCAACCATGGTCCATAGCTTTCTGAATTTGTTTGCTCCCCTCCATCTGTTATTGTTGCTTCCTTTCTTGCCTTATCTGGAACATTAATCACATTCTCCTTACAATTTAATTCTGAAGAGCCAACTCCTCCACAATGATCTTTAGTATGCCCAATGAGTCCACAGCTGAAACAAAAATTTGGGATGTGTTCATATTCTACCTTTTGGTAGAATTTCCCTTTAACTCCTTCCACCCACACTCCTACGGGTAGCTTTCTATCCAGCTTAATTCGGACACACACCCTTCCAAATTCTCTACGACCCTATTGGAACATATTTCCATCAAGAAGAATTGGTTTTCCAACCATAGAAGCTATTCTGCAAACATTTAAGTTATCCCAGTAATGCAATGGAAGGCTTGGAAGCCTAATCCAAATTGGTGATGTCAGCCCTTTAAGAGAGTTAGGATTAAAGCTTTGGGACCACTAGTCCATTCCAACAATCTTTCCATTCATAAACCAAGGCCCATTAGATAGGACCAACTCTATGCTTTGTTTCTCCTGGAAAGAACACAACACCCAGCCCCTACTAAGCATGGTAAGATGAAATTTACCATATTGGTTCCACTGTCTCCTCAATTCATTTCTTATAACTGAAATTGGTGCTTCCCCTCCAAAAATCTTGACAACCAATGAGTTAGCTAGTCTCTTGGTATTTTCCTCCTCATTCTTCTCATGCAATTTCACAGTCATTCCATCTTCAGACAGGTAGTCTCCAAGTTGCAGATCTTCCACTGAAATATTCTCTCTTCTCTTCCAAGCATTCGTTTGTCCAGCATCAGTAAATCGTTCGATAATTTGGATATCTTCTTTGCCTCCACCCGATTCTGCTGAATCCACTTCTCTTACCTTCAATAAGTTGCTGAACAAAACACTGTTACCATTATCAAGATTCACAATGCCTACCACATTATCTCTGCCATCTTTCGGGATTGTTGTTATCTTCGTGGCTGATTAGACTCTCTTTGCCCATGGAAATCATCTTTTCCACTTCATTCTGATATGAAATTCCATTATTTAAAACTACCTTCTCAATAGGATTTAATTTGGATGGAGAAGCTTCATATCCATCACCATACATCATAACATATGAGGATTTACTCTTCTTGAGATCATTCACCATAATCACCTTCTTTCCTTTGCCAATAACCTCAGGCTCCTTCTTCTCCAGATAAGCTCCTTCATTGATGACCAAGCTAATACCTCTAACTTTGCCTTTGTTGTTCAAACTTGAATGTTCATCGCCGAATGCAGGATGAGAGGAAGGAAAGGCTCTAACAGAAGATAACGAAGCCCTGGAAGATGGGCGATGATCTTCCTGTTTACCTCCGGCCACTGGAAGCCGATGAACATCCGCCTCCATTCGTTCCCCATGATTCCCACGGAGAATGAAATTTGAAAGTTCAGTTGAAGTTCAAAATTTCCTCAGACCTTCTCTCTCTTGTAAAGTATTATTCAGGATCATACTATATCATCTTAAGAAAAATAATTTGTCTAGAGGAGTCATATGTATGCCTTTTGATAAAACATTTCAATTAGTATGAATAGGTGTTCATACAATATGATAGGTTAATTAGTATAAAATTGGCAGATTTGATCTCATCCAATAGAATTTGATGTGTATATCACATAGTACGAAAAGTTGTTCGTTCGGTACGATCACTAATAATTAAACAAATCAAGACTATTGATTCTACTGATGGTAGAGATTTAAATAGGGATGTGTAAATCATAAATTATGAAGCTAATCATACTGTACAATGTGAAAATTTTTAACTTTAAAATTTTTTTAATTTAAAATGAATGGTGTGTAAAGATCAGAGAACTTCTACCAAATACAAATTGACAAAATAAATGAAAATTTTGAAATTATAATAAATAAAAAATAGTCATAAAAATTAAAATTTGACACACAATAGAATACAAAAAAACGGGTTGATTTCTAAAGTTAGAAAAATTCGAAATCATCCTAAATCAAGCATGAATGTCTAGAACACGTAGTCTAGTCCTTTTAATGCTAAACACATCATGTGCAATGGGATTGGTAAAGATGTCTGCCAATTGGTTTTAAGTGTCTATATGATGCAACTCTAATTCTCCCTTGGCTATATGATCTCTAATGAAATGATTTCTAATGTCTATATGCTTAGTGCGGGAGTATTCAATTAGATTTTTGGAAATGTTGATGACACTAGTGTCATCAAAATTAATAGAAATGGTGACTACAGGTAGTCTTAGATCTAAGATTTGTTTCTTTAGCCATAAAAATTGAGTTACAGGACTTTCTATAGTAATGTATTTTTCCTCAGTGGTGGATAGGGCTACATAATTATATTTTCTTCTATACTAGGAAACTAATGGTTGACCTATGAATTGACTTGTTTTTTAGATACTTTTTCTATCTACCCTACATCCTAATATATCTATGGTACCAGATACCTAGGTTTTGTGTGCCTAATGGGTATATAAGGATTCTCTTAACAACAATTATGTTGGATTCTCTTAACATCAAATTTGGTTGATGATAAATGAAGAAGTGATCTTATTATCCCTCTATATTTCTTCTTATCAACTAATTTTTCATTGAGATCTTTATCAAATTGAAGAATAGAGCTTATCGGAGTATCTATTACCTTTGCATTATACATCATTGATTTCTTAAGGATATATTTGATTTATTTTGATTGGCTAAGAAAGGTTCCATCATCCCTTTGCTTCACATTAAATATAAGGAAATAGGTAAGCTCTCTCATCATGCTCATCTCAAACTCCTCACACATTATTTTTGGAAATTCATTTGAGAGATTTTGATTTGTGGATCTAAAAAGTATATCATTAATATAAATTTGAACAATGAGTAGATCTTCTCCTACTATCTTAACATATAGGGTCGTATCTACACTCTTGTTAATAAGGGATCTATCCAAGAGGAATGTACTCAGCCTCTTATATCATGCTCTAGGTGCTTGCTTTTTCTTTTTTTTTTTTTGAAGAAGTGCATCAAATTGCATTAAGAACAAAACAAGACCTAATTTCAGGTAATAAATGGATCACATTCCTCCATGATTAAATTTAACAACAAGGAAGGAATGTTCTCAAAAGAAAAACTATCAATAAAGAAACTACTCTCCAATGCCATATTAGCACAACAATTAGCTACTTTATTACAACTTCTATAAGCATGGAGGAAAACAACTTTATTGAAATCATTTGCCAACCATCTATTAACTTGCCACTTATTCTTCTTTAGAGAATCTTGAATGAAATTGATAACATTGGTATTATCACTCTCAATGATCAGCCGTTTACATTCCAACATCCAGCTTCTCAAAAACTCCTTCACCGAGAAAACTGCTTCTAGCTCTAATCGAGCAATATCCCAATGAGCTCCATTCTTACCAAATGCTCTTATAAACCTGCCTTTGTGATCTCTAAAAACACCACCAACACCAGCCAAATTGGAACTAAGCAAAGAGGCATCTACATTGATCTTAATCCAATCTTTCGGTGGGGGGCACCAAGTTCTTTGAGACTCCCTAAGGAGATGAGTACCACAGCTAGTAAGATATGGACCAGATTTTGAAATGGCTGAGAACAAAGCATTAGAAGCAACCATAGAGCATGGAAAAGTTGTCTTACCGTGCTTGAAAGCATTTTGATTCTTCCAAGAGTGATATACAATATTGCAGTAAATCTGTACAATCCTAGATTTATTTTATGCTATTTGTTTTAACCCCAATAAACAGCAATTTAGAGAACTAAAAATAGGAATAGAAATACCCCATTCACCCATCTTCACGATGACATCAGTCATATATTTACAGTGTACCATTATATGTTCATATGTTTAACTCACTTGGCATCCTCTAGGACAAAGATCATTATCTGAAATCCTGCGTTTCTTCAAAAAACGATTGGTAGGAATCCTTGATTTTCCCAACCTCCACCAGAAGATCTCCACCTTTTTCTTAAGTTTTAATTTCTGCAACCAGCTGAAGTAATTAGCATCCTCTAAGGTATACTTGTTGGACAGCACTTGCTCATACACCAATGCTGAAACTGTCTTTCCCGAGCACATCTTCATTAATTCCAGCTGATCCTCCTCCTTAAACTCAATATGAATTTGGCTAATCAAGAATACTATATTAGGATGGAAGGCCCTTTGCAGCTTGGTACAATTCCACTCACCATTGCTAAGCAAAAGCTGCTGTAGGTACATTCCATCCAGAAAATCACAATCAACATATGTTGGCCAAGGACTGATACATCTATCAAGCAGCCATGTATCATTTAAAATATTAATCTTGTCACCCTTGCCCACTCTCCAACGAATAGCCATTTTCAAATATTTGCCACCATCCACCAGATTTTGCCAAGCTATGGAAGTAATCTTCCTTCGGGTTCCATTCATCACATCACTACCATATCTAGCTATCATTGCATGATGGAACAAAGATTGCAGTTTCTGGATAAATTTCCAAGCCAACTTGGATCTTAAAGACCCAACTCTAAGGAGGGGAGAATGCAAACCCAACCCTCCCCAACTTCTTGGTTTACAAATATCACCCCAAGCAACATAGTGCTTACCATTGGTCCCATCATTTTTATGCCAAATAAAACTTCTACAAATTTTCTCCAACACATGTAAAACCCTCTTGGGGACTATAGAATCAGTAATTAAGAAATTAGGCATAGAAAGCAAAGAACTATCAATGAGAATCATCTTACCTCCCAATGATAGGGACTTCTTACTCCAAGAATTGAGTTTATCCATAACATTACTCATAGTTTCTTGAAAATCAGCCATTTTAAGTCTATTAAGAGACATCTTCACTCCCAAATACTTTATCTCTTTAATAACTTTGAAGCCAAGAACCTTAGTTATTCTCTTCTTCATGGAGTAACTAACCACCTTGCCAAATATCATCTGAGATTTGCTTACATTTATTCTTTTTCCAGTCCACTTACAAAAGACCTCCACAATAGTCTTCAAAGCATTAGCTAGATCCACGGATGCATGTGAAAATACTAACACATCGTCTGCATAAATGAGGTGTGTTATCATAGGTCCTCTAGGAGAAATTTTTATGCCAAGCTTCTGTCCCCTTTGCACAAGCGAGTTGGACAAGAGTTGAGAGCACAATATGAAAATATACGGTGAGAGTAGACAACCTTGACAGAATCCACTCATAGCATTAATCCACTTAGAATTCCTCCCATTGATGATAATAGAGAGTCTCACATCTACAATCCATTCCATGAGAAGGTTAGAAAAATCAGTAGGAAAACCATACCAAATCAAGATGTGCCGAAGAGATGCCCATCCCATACTATCATACGCTTGCTCCATATCAAGTTTTAAAGCCATCAACCCCTTCTTATCTTTAGAAATTCTGAACTTGTGAAAGATCTCCTGAGCCAAAAGGCAATGCTCTGCAATAGATCTTCCATGGATGAACGCCACTTACACCTCTGAAATCATCTTGGAGATAACCTTCTTCAATCTATTAACTAACATGGTAGCCACAATCTTATAATTAGTTTGTCAAAGGCTAATAGGCCTAAAGTTAGAAGAAATCACAGGGTTCTTAATCTTAGAGATCAATACAATCAAAGTATTCTTCCACTCCCTATGAATATGGCAGGATTTAAAGAAACAGTTAACTGCATTCCAAAGAGTCTCCCACACAATACTCCAATAGCTCTTGTGAAAAGAAGAGGTGACTCCATCCAAACCTGGTGACTTGTTGTTTCCTTGCTGAAAAACCGAATTATGCAGTTCATTTACTGAAAATTCTGCATTGAGCACATCCATATCATCAGCTGCAATCTTCTGGTTTTCAAAAACTATAGGCCAACCCGTCACTTTACAATCCCCGTGCTTACATTTCTTCTCAAAAAAATTAATGAAGACCTTCTCAATTTTCTCATCCTCATCATACAAATTGTTGAGCTCATCTTTAATTTGAATGATCCTATTCCCATTTCTTCTAGCCGAGGCATAATTATGAAACAATTTGGAGTTTGTATCACCTTCCTCATGCCACTTAGCCTTTGCCCTTTGATTCCACCAAGTAGAAAGACTCTTCAAAGTAAAATTAAGTTCATGGACTTTGTTTCTAAGAACAAAAAGGTCATCAACCGACCAATTGAAACTTAAAGCTTCCTTGTTTTTAAGTTCAAGGATCTCCTTTTTCAATTTCTCCTTTAATAAATTCAAATCTTTACACTTATTTTTATTCCAAAAAAATAGTGATTTTAATGTGAGGCTAAGCTTCCTCTGAAGGATCATATACTGATCTCCGAAATCATTCTTTTTCCAAGAGTGATAAACAATACTCTTGGCCGCAGGGTAGGACCTCCAAGTATCCTCAAATCTGATTGCCCTTGACTTGAACCGCACCTTTTCATCCATCTTAACAATAATAGGACAATGGTCAGATGCCAATGTCGCATGATGTCTAGTGACAACTAAAGGAATTTTCTGAATAGCAACCGAATTCAACATACACCTGTCCAACCTTTCTCAAATCCTAGAAGCACCCTCCTTGTTGTTACACCAAGTAAACATTGGTCCCACACTGCTAACATCATGAAAATCAGAATTCATCATAAATCCCTTCATCTCCCAAGGTCCTTTAGAGAACAAGAACCTCTTACCTCCTCTCTTCTCCTCCTTATTAATGATACAATTGAAGTCCCCCCCAATAATAGAAGGAATAGCATTCTCCATACTCTTCTCTAATTGACTCCAAAGGCCTCCCCTCTCCTTACAGCATCTGCTGCCATAAACAGTAGCAATTCTCTAAGTTCCCAAGATGGGAACCGAAAGATTTCCAATGGCAGCCTGTGAAGTAGCTTCCATAACATCAAAGGTCACCAACTTTCTATTCCATAGTACCAAAATACCTCAAGATGTACCAACAGTAGGGTAGTGAAAAAACTCCCAATCACTCCCTGTAAGATAATTAACCTCCCTCCTATCAATACTAGACAACTTGGTATCCATAAGCTCAATAAAGAACACATCCTGATCTCTAACAATCTCCTTCAAATATAAGGAAGGCTCCCTCTTCCTGGCTCCCCTACAGTTCCAAAATAAGATGGATGACATTTAACCAGGTACAGAAGATCTCTCCCCACTACTGGGGTTCAACCTCCCATCCCTCTTCTTCTTTTCATAGTCAGGCTCAACCGACCCAATGATCTCAATTCCTTGGCTAGTTTAATCTTGGCAACTCCACTATGAGAACCCAAACCAATGTGGTAGCATCAAGTTCAGGTATATCCAAGCTCCTATCCAAAGCTTTATCAATTTCTCCATGCTTCTCAGTACCTTCCACTACATCTTTATCAACCAACATAGCAAAATGATTAGTTGAGTGAATATCAAACATCTCAAAACCAGCTGTCTCTATATTAACTTAACTTTTTACTGGAGCTACAACTGATTCTTCTACAACATCAGCAACCTCTGTCCTCATCTGGATTCTCTCCAGCACCCTGTCCTGATGGCTCTTATTAACTCTGTTATCAGTATTATTCCCATTATCCTTCACACCTCTTCCAGCGGCAAGATCCCTTTTAAATCTTCTATTCTTTAAATGGACATGAATCCACGGACCATATTCAGCACTGATCACAGAAGGATTATTATCAGGCACAATTTTCATTCCTTCCACCGTAACTATATCCGTCTTCGTCCTCGTTTGGTCCTGTATCCCAAGAGTTACATTTTTCAGACAAATCTTATTATCATGACCCACTTTACCACATTAATAGCAAAGAAGATCAATTTTCTCATACTCCACCCGTTGGAAGAACCTCCCAGCTGAACTTTCCACCCAAACACCATTCGGCAGCTTCTTTTCCAATTCAATCCTTACACAGACAAGGGAAAATTCACGTTTACTCCAGTGAAAGGTATTGCCATCTATGTACATTGGAGAACCAAATCAAGAATTAATTGTTTCTATACTATCTTCATCCCAGCAGTACAAAGGCAAGCACGATAATCTAATCCAAATGGGAGCAGAGATTCCCTTAAATGAATTCGGATCAAACATAGGCATCCATCTGTCCATACCAACAATGAACCCATTCACATACCAAGGGCCTCTATTCAGTATATCATCTTCCACCTCACTAGTCTTGAACGAACACAAAATCCAGTTCATTCCAATCGACGTCAAATGAAATTCACCGTATTTGCTCCACTGCCTTCTCAATTCTAAACTATAAACCGAGAACGACACATTATTCCCCAAGAATTTAAGCACAATCAAATTCTATAAAATTCTGGAATTCTCTGCCTCCCTATCCACATTTAACCTGACTGCGACACCATCTTCAAAAAATTCAACCTGGTCTCTATTAAACGTAATATTGATAGGCTTCGACTTCGACCAGCATCAACAACCTCACCAACACCCTTCTGTCCAGAATTATCAATCATCTTGTTCTTCGTAACTTCAAAACTAGTTGAATCCTTCACAGGGATCTTAGAGTAATCCATAAATTCACTTTCCTTCTGAACTTATATCGAATCAAATCATTTCCAATAATACGCCCCTCGTGCGTATCAAGAACTCCAAAAAAATTCTTCACCAGCAGAATTACATCATCCGAAGCCGAAGAATCAAGATTTGCCAAACCTTGATTACCCTGGGTATCCACATTCTTCTGCACCACCAAATCATCCACTAAAACCTTCTTCCCCTTGCCTTCAACAGTATCTTGACGGCTCAAAGGTCTAAATTCTTCTCTAATCACAATACCATTCGATCCTCTACCATTGGCCCGCAGAGAACCAAATGGTCGCAGAACAGTCATACAAACCAGCTAGATAATGCCGGCGATCATCCGACGCTATTCCCTTCGAACACGACAAACCCGCGCAAAATCAAATTGGAACAGGCGATGAACATTCTCTCTCTAGGTGCTTGCATGAATCCATATAATTCCTCTTTTTATTTAAATACATGAGTGAGAAATTGAGAATTATTAAAACCTGGGGGTTATTCAATATATTAATCTTTCTTTATCACCCCATTTTGGAAGGCACTCTTAATATCCATCTGATATATCTTTAATCCTCTAAAGCAAAGAAAGGCTAATAGTACTCTAATAGCATCTAACCTAGATACAAGGTCAAAAATCTTCTAGAAATCAATTCATTCAATCTAATTGTACCCCTTATATACTAATCTTTCCTTATTTCTAATCAGTATCCCATATTCATTCATTCTATTCTTGAAAACTGACTTAGTTCTTATAATTATCTTGTCCTTAGGTCTACTAACCAATTCTCATACATTATTCTTAACAAATTAACTTAATTCTTCTTGTATAGATAGGATCAAAAATTCATCAACTTGGGCTTGATATACATTGGTTTGTTCTACCATGGAGATGAATTCAAAATGATTGACCTCCTATTCTATGTCCATGGATTATTTTAACACCTACATATGGATCTCCTAGGACAAGTTCTCTAGGGTTACTAGATGTGTATCTCCATTCTCTTAATAATGGCTCCTTAGGTTCTACTCTATCTCCTAGGTTAATGGATTCTAGCCATTATGTGATCTCTACTTCTTCTTTTTTTTCTTCTAACCTAAGCTCAAAAGATTTATCTATTTCATCAAATATAACATAGATTCTCTTCTACTACTAAGGTCCTCTTATTAAAGATCCTACAGGCTTTAACTACATATGAAAATCTTAAGAAGACTTCCTACTAAGATTTAGGATCAAACATTTCTAGTGATTTTTTTCCTTTAATCAAGTCAAATAATCTACAATCAAATACATGCAAGTGAGAAAGGTTAGAGGTTATACACCTAAGGAGCTTAAAGTGTGTCTTACTAAACTTAGTTCTAACATTGACCCTATTCAACCCATATATATAATATTTACAACTTCTTCCGAAAAGTATCTAGGGATAGAAAAATCAGCATGGCTTTATTAAAGTTCTATTCTTCCTTTACCTATTCCATTTTAGTGAGGGGTCCTAGGGTCAGAAAAGTAATGCTATATCCCTACCTCTTTATAAAAAGATTCAAACTTAACATTTTCAAACTCTCTACCATGCTTAATATGAATAATCAAGATCTCAGGTCATAATTTCATCTATATCCAAGTGCAAAAGGTTATAAATTCTTGATTTGAAGGAATATAACCCAAGTGAATCTAGAGAAATCATCAACAATCACAAAACATAATATGTCCCATGTAAGTTGGCTGTACTAGGACATCCAAACATGTCCATATGAAGACTTTCTAGTGGCTTAAATGTTTTGATGTTGTTAATTGAATGAAATGAAGACTTAATTTTCTTTTCTAGTTTCGAGGCATCACATAGGCAGT